ACTGGTTATGAGTGACTCTGGAACAGCTGCCTAGGCCAAAATCCCCGCTCTGCTCCTCCTGAGCTGTGCAGCCTCCAGTGCATTGCTTCCTTGATGTCAGTCTCACTATTCTCGACCATAAATGACATTAATGATACCTGTGCCCTTCCAGCCCCAGGTTGTTGTGAGGACTAAACTGAGATGATACCTGAGTAGAAAAGGCACCCAGTAATGTCTGCTGAGAGACTGAATGACCACATGGTAACTTTCCACTTTCCAAGTGCTCTGGCTTTGAGGCTGCTGACACCCTGGTGATGCCCTGGAACTGAGTGCCCAGAGCAGGGCAGCAGAGACTGGAAAACCACACCAAGGTAACCTGCACAGGCTGCAAAAGTGGCACCTGTGCCCACACAGCCCAGCTTGCCCAGCACCTTCTGTACATGAAGGAAATCATGAATGCTAGCTGCAAGGGGAATTCTCTGCAATTGCCCCAATTTAAAAAACTACCCCAATGGCAAAATCCACAGCTGGCCGGGTGCACTACCACTTGAAGAGGAGGAAATGAAAATGACAAGGAGTGCACACAGCCAAGCGTGTAGCCACACCCATACAGTCAGCCAGTCCTCACCCCACACACGGTCTCACACTCACCCACACAACCTCACAACCTCAGGAACAGCCAACCACGCACTCCAAACAAACAGCCAACTGCACGCGCCCACAGTCCCAGCCTCGAGCCCTACATGCTCAGCACACACAGTCACACCTACCATCTCCAAACAGCACTTCACTCTATCTTACCCACAATTCCCCGTCCACACCCCTGGTGCCCTACCTACCCCAGCCCTCACACACGCACCTCCGTGCACACCACGACTGCACACTACAACTGTGCATGCGCAGCCTCTACAGCACTCTGCCCCCTACTTCCCCACTCACAACCCCACCAGGAGGCCTGTCTTGGGCTCCAAGCATCCCGCTGAAAGCCTAGCAACCTGGCTGGGCAGCACACAGGGCCTCTACTCACAGAAACGGGTTTTGTTTCTGCTGCTTTGCCTGCAAAGGCATGCTTTCCTCAGCCCACAGCAGTTTCTGTGGTTTGGTGGCAGCCTGTGACCTCCTTGTCAACACATACATACAGTCCCTGCCTCTGGTAACTCAGGATCCTCACAGGTCTGGGCACTTTGGGGTTCTCCAAGGTCAAAGGCAAGATGGGCTTAGAGCCTTTTGGGAATCCCTAGCAATGGTGCTCACAGTGCTTTGCAGAGGGCCTGGCAGGTGTGGCCCAGGGCCAGCCTGACTTCCAGGTGGGTCAGGGCCCAACCACAGCACTAGAGCTGTTGAGTCCCTCTTCCAGGCCCTTCCTGGCACCATGGCAGGGCCCTGCCTGGCGACAGTGTCACACCATGTCTTGGGGAGCAGGGGCACAGCTCTGACATATCAGAGTCCCTTCTAAGTGCTATCCCACAGGGAGCCCATGTGCCCATTTTGAGCCAGGCCCTGAGAGGGCTGGAAGGGCAATGCAAACCGAGAAGGTCCTCAGGCTCTCCAATCCCAGCCCTTAGTCTTCCTTACTGGGATGTGGAGAAGAGAAGAGAAAAGTGTGAATGCTCTCCTTCCCCAGGATCCTCCAAATCAAGCCTCGGGCTCCGTCAAGTTGCTAAGAACTTTGAGGGTTAGCCAGTGTGAGCCCCACATGGGGGCCCTCAGGCACTGCAGAGGGCTGGGGAGAGGCATCCGAGGGATCAGGACAGTGATTTCGGAGCTCTGCCTATCCCCCTGGTCCCAGCATGAGTGGTAATGGCCTGGAAGCAATAAGAAGAAAGAGGATGGCAGGGAAGGAAGGAGGGACACCTTCAAGTCTTGCTGGGGGAATTCAGCCAGAGGCATTAGGTCTGGATGGAGAGGGCTGCCTGCTCTCAGGTCCTGGCGGGGTGGGTTCAAGGGGACTCTTCAGGGAGACATGGGCCCTCAGGCCAGAAAGCCCACTGGGGACAGGAGAGAGAATGGAAAGAAAGCAACAGGAAGACAGAACAGAGTGTTGAGTGAGGAAAGAAGGACAAAGGAAGCTGTGACCACAGGAAGCCAGGCTGTGTGGTCCCAGGAAAGGGACCCCAGGGCAGCCAGACCCCACAGGGACATATGCTAGCATGGGGCAGCAGAGAGCCACTCAGGGATAATGCCTGCCAGGACCCTACTCTCATGACTCTGGAATCCTCCCTTGTACCCAAAGGACCAGCCTGGGAAGCCCAGTCCTAGGAGACACCCACAGGTGCTCAATACCCAAATAGCAGAGGGCCCTGTGGTCACACTGCCCCTCCTGGCTTTCATCTGCAAAAAATCCTAGGGTGGAGTGAGGCAGGGGGTAGGTTGAGGGCTTGGAACCATTAGCAGCTAGGCCCAGCACACAGAGCTGGGAGACAAGTGGGTCACAACATACTCCCCAAAAATGGCAAGGCCAGCCCTGACATTAGCACATTTTACTTTTTTCCCCCTGTGAAGTTTATACTGATCAACATAATCCCCCAGCAGAGCAGACATTCTCCTGGTAGGCAAAGAATGGAAAGACACACAGGCCAGAAGAATATCCCCTGCCACCAGGTGGCTGTGTGAATCCAAATACCCCCTGTAGCTGTCTGGCCTCCCTCTGTTTCCCCATTGTTACCTTAATGGTTAGAGAATCCCAAATGTCCTGAGATTTTTCTGGGAAGACCACAAGTGATACAGACTCAAGACAGTGCCCAGTTGGGCCTGCACAGCCTGAAGGAAGACCACAGGACTGCTGTCCTCCTAGGGAAACAAATAGGTTGGCCATGACCCTTGGACTCTCTGGACTTCTGATCCCAACCTTTGGAAATGAAGATGTGGGGTGCAGGGGCTGCACAGATCAGGGCTCACAGGTCTTCCGTCACTTTGAGGTTGTAGCTGAGCTGTATTATCACCACCACCACTTTCCACCAGCTTAAGCCCCCACAGGAAAGGATAATTACTGAACTCACAGTCTTTCTAGTCACCCTCCTATCCCAAGGTGGGAAGCTCCTTCTGGGTTCCCATCACTCGTATCAGCACTTGGAGGTGAGTGAGGTCAGGGGCCTTTGCCGAGCCAGGCTGTCCATTTCCTTCCCGGGATGGGGACTTTCAAATGGTAACGGACACAGCCTCAGTGGAGCATAATTAGCCTTGGGACTAGAAGGGTAAACAAATGTGTAATTCATGAATTTGCTAATTGTCCTTCATTTTGATCTTCTGCCATGTTTCCTGGCTTCTGACTGACATACGTCTCATGGCAAGGACTCAGAGAAAGCCGGGAGTGAGCTGTGAGGCTGCTGGCATCCCAGCTGGACACCTGGGCTGACCCTCCTCCCAGCTGCCCACCTCCAGCCCAGGCCCAGACATCACACAAGGCAGGAAGCCTGTGGCACTCAATCTTTTATTTTCTTAAACTGTACACAAACGTAAAATACTTTAACAGCCAGTCTATGGGGAAATTGTTTGGTTTTAAATTATTATGAAACAGAACCTAAGGGGAGCATTATTAAATAAACATAAAAATGAGGATTTAAGGATACACACCTGCATTCTACCATAGTCATTTTTACTCTACCTTCTGGGTGTGTAAGAATAGAAAAGACACATCAAACTGAATAAACAAAATCCACTTATACCCTGAAACATTGGCAGGCCACTCAAAGGATTGTTCAGAACGTTCACCTCATAGAAGATGGCCTCACCATCTAATAAAAATTAAAACTGATCTGTTGGCCTCTTTGGTTCCAAAATTATGTATAATACATTTAACTGTATTCTTTTTTTGCTGCTATAAAAATAACTTCTTTTTTCAAATGGCAGTTTCTGACTAATCATGCAACTAAATCAGTGCAAACATTAAAAGCAATCATTCGCTTAAAAAAGAAGCAAAGGATTTCATTTCAAGTATAAAAAATATAAAAAGAGTTGTACGAGTCCAGTTTCATCTAGTGTGGGTCAACCCTTTAAATTGCATAGTTCACATGGCACTTGGACATGTATGGGGAAAGTCAGTCCAGCGCTCTTCCCACAGCCACTTCTGGACACACGCAGATCGGCAAGTGCTATATCATGTGCATTCAGGCAGGTCTACAAGTGCTATGCGGGGCGGGCAGGTGGGCAGGTGAGCAGGCAGGGACCACATCCACGGCCAGCTCTGCTGGCCAAGGCCCACCCACATGGGCAACTTCTGCAAAGCAGCTGAAAGCCTTCCCCATCTCTCCAAGACCAGCTAAGCAGCTCCCCTTTCTCAACCCGAGCTGGGGAAACCCCTACCAGCATTTCCGGAATGCCCTTATCCCACATTGCCTCCTCTGGGCTCAGCCCTTGGACTAGTGGTTATTCTCACCCCTCTGCAAGCAGCCCTAGAGGAATGACCCCAGCAATGGGCACAGATTGCAACTTTTTCTCTTCTCATTTAGAACAACTGGGCTTTTCACTTAAAAGGTCATACCTGATAGATAAGTCTCTTTTCAGTTCTACAGCTGGCACAAATAACCTGTCAACCTGTCAGCTGCTGGAGATCAGTTAAAGCATCAAATTGAGACCCCTCTCCTCCTCTCCCTCCCTCCCTCCCCACCCCACAATCACACACACACACACACACACACACACACACACACACACATATCAGGGACTCAATGACAAGTCAGTCATTGCCCTGTGCTACGGTCTGACAGGTGGTGTCCTTCCTGGGCCATTTTCCCTCTCCAAGGTGTGGAAGGACAGCTCCCCTAGTCTTGCAGCACAGAGAATGCCAGGTGGGGAAGAAGCAAACACGATTCTACCAAGAGCTGTGGCAGCAGAGCAGACCTGGTATAGTCCAAGGGGATGCACAGCACACAGCCCTCTGCCTGGCTGCACACTCCCACCCTGCTTTTCTTCTCAG